GTAGCCAGAGAACAGGGCAGGTGCCCTGGGATTCCTGCCACCACTCCCCATATGCCATGTTCAGGCATTGGTTCCTAACAGTGTGTGGGGTATCAGGGAACACCAAGGTTCCCCTGTTACCCCATCTACAGGGCATGCTGAGGTGACCTTGGATAACATGGACAGTTTGCTTGTCACAGTCAGTGGAGGTCTGGAGAGGAACTTTGAGAGGCTTTGGCTAAGTCCTGGCTAAGTCACAGTTGAAAGAGTGAGGAGGAGATGACGTAAGTCCAGTCATGCTCTGTCTATAGGCATATACAGCAAGGGAACTAAGGTCCCCCTCCTGCATGGGCACTCCTACAGTAGCAGCTGAAGGAATACACAATTCCTGCTGCCACCCCAGGTACACTGTTCCCACCGCAGGCCACTGCTGTACCTTGTTTGACCTCCCACTGATGTCAGGACTGGGTGTGAGTACCACAGAGGGGATGCTGCAGTTCCTGCCACCTCCCATCCCCATGCAGTGTCTAGGCCCATACTACTGGTCAGAGGACAAATGCTTCAGGCCCCTCATCACTACTCAGACAGTATCAGAGGCCCTTGCTAGAAACAGATATAGCACTAACAGCACCTGAGGAAACCTTCATCCCCAAAGAGGCCACTACTCCCCTTCAGGTAGAGCACACAGGGATAAGCCACACCCACTGCGGTCTGCACCACACCTGCCTGAGCGTTGTGGCCAGACACACTAGGAAGCTACAGGGAGACTACACTAGAGTGCCCAGCTAGAATCAAAGCCAACTGCATAGCAAATGGACACCCCAAGACACATCTTCAGGAGAAAGCTTCTTACCAAGAAAGCCACCCATAAAAGTGGTAGTGAGGGGCTGGGGCTGTAGCTCACTGGTAGAGCACTTGTCCCATCCGTGTGAGGCTCTGGGCTCCATCCTCAGCACCACATAAAAAATGAATACATAAGAAGGTATTGTGTCCATTTACAACTAAATAAGTACTTTTTAAAAAGTGGTAGTACCTGATTTACTAGGATGCACAAATCCCAAAGTAGGAACATGAGAAATATGAAAAAACAAGTAATATGACACCTCAAAAAGTCCCTAACTCTCTAGCAACAGATTCCAAAGAAACTGAAGTAGATGAAATGTCTAATAAAAAATTCAAAAGAATGATTATAAAAAAGTGCATGATCCAAGAGAATATAGATAAAAGTTAAATGAATTTAGGAAGATGGTGGATGCTTATGTTCCACCTAAAATTGAACTTAGGGAACATAAAACTTAAATAGAGTATTAAGATTACTAAGCAAGTAATTTGATTAAATAGTTAATAAAACGTCTCCCCAGGGGCTGGTGTTGTGACTCGGTGGTAAAGCGCTTGTCTTGCACGTGTGAAGCACTGGGTTCAATTCTCAGCACCACATAAAAATAAAGGTATTGTGTCCATCTACAAACTTAAAAAAAAATTAAGTCTTCCCAAAGAAAAGATGACCTGAGGGATTCACTGCTGAGTTTTACCAATCTTTTAAAAGAACCTCAGTTCTTCTCAATCCACAAAATTGGAAGGGAGAGGACCCTTCCAGACTTCTTCCCTGAGGTTAGCATTAGCCTGTTATCAAAATGTTATAAGGACAAAATAATGATAACAACAAAAAAAAATCAACAAAAGAAAACTATATCCCTAAACATAGATGCAAATATCCTCAACAAAATACTAGCATATTGAAATCAAAAAGATCATATGACATGATCAAGCTGGTTTCATTCCAGGGATGCAAGGATGGTTCAACATATGCAGATAAGTAAACATAAATCATCACATTAATAGAATGATGGAAAATCATATGAAGCATCTCAATAGATCAGTAAAAGTACTCAATGAAATTTAATACCCTTTCATGATAAATGCCTTGAATAAATTAGGTTCAGGATAATGTTTTCTTGATATAATAAGGGTATATAAAAACCTATAGCCAACATCTTAATGGGGGAAAAACTAGAAGCATTTCCTCTAAAATCGGGTTCCAGACAAGGGTATTCGCTCGCTCTAATCACTGTTATTCAATATGGTACTTGAAAATTTTAGCATCAACTATTAGGCAAGAGAAAGAAAAAGCATACAAACAGGGAGGGAATCAGATGATACGAATCTGCACATAGAAAAATATAGTTTTCACTAAGACTATTAAAAGTGATAAATGAATTCAGTGAAGTAGTAGAGCACAAAAATCAGTAGCTTTTCTATTTATCAATATCAAATTTACTGAGGAAATCATGAAAGCAATCCCATTCACAATAGCCTCAAAAATTGAGATAAAATAAAAATACCTAAGAATAAACTTAACCAAGGAGGTGGAAGACCTCTACCATGAAGATTTAAAGGTATTGAAGAAAACAACAAAAAATATGACAAGACCTCTTATGTTCAAGCGTTAGAAGATTTAATATTGCTAAAATGTCCATATCACCCCCAAATAATACATACATTCAAGTCAATCCCCAACAAAATACCAATGACATTCTTCACAGAACTAGGAAAAATACTAAAATTCATATGAAAGCACAAAGGACCTTGCAATAGTGAGCAAAAAGAACAAAGCTAGAGGTATCACACAATACCCAGTTTTAAGACATATTACAGACCCATAGTAACAAAAACAGCATGGTACTGGCATTAAAAACAGACACACACATCAAATAGAACAGGATGGAGTTCCCAGAAATAAATCCATACATCTACAGCCAACTGATTCCAACAAAGGTGCCAAATACGTATGTTAAGAGAAAGGACAGCCTCTTCAACAAATGGTGCTGGGAAAACTGCATATCCACATGCAAAAGACTGAAAGAAACTTGGCCCTTATCTCTCACCCTATACAAAAATCAACTCAAAATGGACCAAAGACCTAAGTGTAAGACCTGCAGTTCTGAAACAACTACAAGAAAACATAGTAGAAATATTTCAAGGCATTGATACAGGAAATAAAACCAGAAACTAACAAATGATGTTACATCAAATTAAAAGCTTCTGCACAGCAAAAGAAACAATCAACAGAGTGAAGAGAACCCACAGAATGGGAGGAAAATATTCATCAGTTATATCTGACTGAGGGTTAATATCCAGATATAAAGAACCCAGAAAACTTAGTAAAAGAATAAGTAACCCAATTATTAAAAAAAAAAAAGGCAGAAGATCTGAACTGACACTTCTTAAAGAAGTAAAGATCGCAAATAAGTATATGGAAAAGTGTTTAACATCTTTGTCAGAAATGCAAATCTAAACATTCACTTTACCCCAGTTAGATTGTTATTATTAAAAAAAAAAGTGAAGCAAAAAATAACAAATGCTAGTGAGTATGTGGAGAAAAAAGGAGCTTTTATATGCTGTTGTTAGATTAGTACAAGACACTGTGGAAAACTAAAAATAGAACTTCCATATGATTCAGCTATTCATCTCCTGTTTATATATACAAAGGAAATATGTCAGTATACAAAATAGATATCTGCATACCTGTGTTTATTGTGGCCATATTCACAATAGATAAGATTGGAATCAGCCTAGGCACCCGTCAACAAAGAGATTAAATACACACACACACTGGTCTATTATTCAACCATAAAGAAGGATGAAATCCTTCTTCATTTGCAGCTAAACAGATGGAAATGGAAGCTAATATGTGAAGTGAAATAAGCCAGGCATAGAAAGACAACTACTGCATGTTCCCTCTCACATATGGAAGCTACTAATGTCAACCTGAAAGTAGAACAGTGATTTACTGGGTTTTGGCAGGGGTGAGGGTAGTTGCATACGGTCAATCCATGCTGTATGCATGTGTGGAAATATCACACCAAACCCCATTGATATGTACAATTACTATGTGTTAATAAAACTTTTTAAAAAGTATTTTATAATCCCTTCTTTCACCTTGTTTTGGTTTAATCATAAAAAGTCATGAACCTCTATGACTGAAAAAAGAATTGTAGTTCCAGATGATCTTTCTCAAAGGGGAAGTATCAGATCCTTTGAAAGGCCAAGCAGTTCTCAGATCATGTATTATTACAGTCATTGGAGTCAAATAAGAACACAGGTAGTAATTTATCTCATGCTAACCCCTGAACAGTTAGAATGACTTACATGTGTCCATTCAGGTCTTCAGAGGTGCAGGCTATGGACCTCGTCATACCAGTTCCATGTATTTTGCTGTGCCCCATTTGGAGAAGCTTTTAATTATTTCCGCTTTGCTTGGAGCAGAAAGTTGATTTGCTACTCTGCATCCCCATCCTGGGCTCCCCAGGCAGCCCTGGTTAAGGACCCCACTTTATTTCAATAGTGGCCCCTCTCATCGTTCACTTGAATTCAATACATAAATTGAGCTCTTTTTGTCCCTTCTCTTTTAGCACAGGAACACTGCAGTGGACTAGGAATGTAGCTAATTTGCATGTGAGAAAAGCTGTGCTTCAGAGAAATGGGGGTGATGTCTGACTCTGGATGTGACCCCTGAGAGGAACAGCTGAGAATACCTTTGCAGTAATTTTTTCCACTTAGAGAATAATGCTCAAAAACAGCCATTAATACAATGTTCTTGAGAGTCATGTCAGATCTTTGTTATCTGAGGTGATTTTTCCTCTATTGTGTGAAGTCCCTAGCTCGGATCCCCCGAGAATATGGCCTGAGCATGCTGCCCCTTTAGGCACCCTCACTTGATTTCTTCCCTTGTTATGGGAACTTTCAGGCCAACCTGTCATTTTAAATCTCTCATTAGCTTTGCAAAGAAATTTGACATTTGCTGACAGTCATTGTCATGTTAGATAACTGCTTTTGCTTTCTTTCTACAAAGATTAAAACAAGTGAGAAGAAGACAACTCTCTGCCAAAGCCCAAAAGGAAGCGCCGAGGAGCCTCTGTGGGCTCTTCTATCTGGATGCAGCTCACGCAGACTCCACCTGCAGCTAGCAATCAACACGTTAAATTTCAGCAATGAAAGTTCAATTGAGAAAATTCATTTACCTTGGAGTCCAGCTGCTGCATGTATGACCAAAGATATTCTATATTGGCTCCAAAAGGATGGACGTGAAGAAATGTTGATATGATGCCTGAATAAAAAAAAAAACAAAAACAAAAAGCAAAAACGTTGAAAAGTACTTACAGGCAAGTGAATGTCTCAGTTAAATAATGTCATCTAACCTCAATGACTTTTGTCAGGTTGAGTTATGGTCTTGCTATTTCTAAGAGAAGTCAACAAGCATTCAATAACAGCACGTTCTGGAGATGGTACAGTGACGTGGCAAACAAAATACTCGGTGCCCTAGAATGACAGTAGTTAGCAAAGCTAGACTCTGAGATGACATTTAGATGAATAAAGGTATTTCTAAACAAAGACTCCTGGAAGCAGTTCAACTACCAATTTTATGCTTGATTTACCAATACAAAATTATAGTTATTGGAAGGATAAAATTATCTCTTTTCTTTCTCTCAGTAGATTTTGCAGTGTGAAAATGGCTAATGTGGTTGTGTCCAAAATCACACTGTCTCAAGTTTTCCTGATAATTACAGTTCTGATTATGAAAAATGCATAATCCATATTCTCCAAACTGCCATCAGAAGAAGTACACATTCTTACTTTAACATTTGCTGTTTCCCTCTGGTTGTTGCTGTTGTGGAAAAGAAGCCAGCTTGCTTTCCCTTCCTCTGCTGTAATTTACAAGATCATTTTATAAGGTCTGGGAATGGATGCTTTGGCTGGAGTTTGAATATAAATCAGAAGGTCTTTCCATCGTGAAAACCAACTGTTAGCGTAATACTGACAAACGAACAGCTGGATGTTGGTGTCAGGGCTGAAGCAGAAAGTATTACCCACCCATCCTCCCTGTTCCTGTGTTCCCAAATCAAAACAGTGGAGTCGACTCCATAGACTGTATTCTGCTTTTTGTTAAGAAGTGCTTACACTGACTTCTAGAGGGAGCGGGTACCAGGAATTGAACTCAGGGGTGCTTAA